ATAATAATAAGAAATCATATTGGCAATATTCTAATTACTTGGATAAGTTGGAATAATCAAAAACAGTAATAATCAGAATCACTACTTTCAATTAGTTGATTATTTTATTAACATTAATTGATTATACCTCAGTTAATCGTCCAGCTCTAATATATAGCTTACCTTAGGATATGAATGCTGCCCTGTCCACTTGTTAAGAAGAACAAGGAGTTACTGTTATTCCATGATATTTCATTCACTTCAAACTTGAACTGCTTATCTGCTCGAACTTTGTGTGACCTAGCATCAATAAAGGAGACCAAATCTTCCTTGTTTCCCACAGCAATAGTGTTTCCATCTGGTGACCAGCAGATATTGATGTTTTCTCCTTTGAAAAATTATTCAAGTTATTAGAACAAGAAAAAAGGGTATTTCTTGAGTTTCAGAAACCATATATTTATACATATGACTTGTTCCTGAATACATTTTTTGTTTAAGTGCAAAGCTGCACAATGGCCTATTTGTGCTGTGCCCAATTGGGAGTCAAGTCTCAAATTTTAGCATTTTAAGCCCTAAAGCTTACAGCTGAGCTACTTTGTGCCCCCCCCCCTCTACTGGTGGAACTTGGGAGTCCATACCACCCCAGTTTCCAGTCACTGGGGTGGTGGACAGAGGATATTTTCCAAAGTGTTTGAATGTGTTCCTCCAGAGGGTGAAGTTGGAGGCTCTCCTACTTGGGGTCCCTGGATGTTTTTTCAGTAAGAGTGGCATCAGCCTCCACAGGAGCCAACCCATAATTCTGGTTCAGATTTAACACAAAACTGTCCAGTTGGAGGGAGGGGAGTGCATGGCCCTTCTCTTTGATCAATGTCAGTTTCTTATGTTGTTCATAGACGGAGATCCACTGTCTCCTCATAATTCTGAATGCGATGTGGTCCCATCCTAGGTCCTTGGTTGAGCACAGGTTCCACATCCTCTCCATAATTCCAGGGGCAAGCCGAGTACTCCATGTCCACTTGGTTGGAGAGTGAGGATGAATGTTCATAATTCCAGACCAGATGAGTTATGTTCCTTGGGTTTACTATGACATACACAATCCCGTCATTCCAAGCCTGGAGTATTGCCTTTTGGACTTCTTCAGATGGAAGAGAAAGTTTGTCTACTTAGGTGTTGCTTACTTTCTCGTCGTGATTCCGGTTGTGTGAAATGCATCACTCTATGGCTACAGGCTGAGATCCAGTTCAAAGTATATATAATATTACTCTAGCCACCAATATGGGATATAAGTACCATGACTCCTTAATTCCAACCTCGAGTTGTGGAATCTCGGCTATCTGGTTGGGGCTGGCCTATACTGATGATTACTTGTATTTTATTCCACCTATAATATAGGAACTGAGTTCTGGTGAAGAGCATGCCTGTTCTGGATGTAGTGCAGTTCCCCCACTCTTGTACCTTCTTTATATTAGTACACTTCTGTTCTATACAGATGTTTCTGTATGGTTCATGCCTACATCTGCCCCTCCAACTTCTCAGTGTGGTATTCTAGTTATAGTGTCAGTGGAGGTAGGTATTGTTTGGAATTTAACATTTTCCTAAACTGAAAATGTATTTCCAATAATACTTAGTGGACTGACATTCTCTTGCCCTACCTCTCCACTAAAAACTGGTTTATGTCTCTATAAAGTGATTACATTATGTGAATGAGGTGCTTATATACAGTATCTAGATAGAGGGCGCATTGAAGTTGGTGGAGAAATTTGTAAATTAGAATTTGCCAAAGGCATTCGAGCAAGGTATATAAAGACTGGAGTAAGTGTTTTAAATGCTTAGATGAGCAAAGAGTGGAAACCCTGGAGATTAAGAAATAGCTATAGTGTCAGTGAAGGTATGTATTATTGGAAATACATTTTCAGTTTAGGAAAATGTTAACAAATAAATTAGGTGTGGAAAGGTTGCCAGTTGACTGTTAAGTAGTTTGAAACTTTCCGAATAGTACTCAAATCAGATTAGATAAAAGAATGTTATTGCTCATTTTACATCATATTTTTGAACTGTACATCAATGATTTCTCTACAGATCAGATAATCAAGTATGCTGTTTGTGTTAGGGTAGAGAAAATAAGAGATAAAATGTAAAATTTTACCAAAAAAACATTTTATATTCATTAAGTAGGTTCCAGAAGTTGCGCAAATGAAATATGAAAACAGTAAGATGAAAAAATATTAGAAATTTACAGACAAATCTCTAGTAGCAATACTTTATTAAAAAATATGGTGTTTTGTGTACAAAAGACTTGTAATGTTTACATAAAGCTTGCTCAATTTTGTGAAGGTAAATTTAGTTATTTTGGAACAATATCTGAAAATAGTATGTATAGCTTCACAGATCTGGGGTTAGTAAATGTGACCAAGCCAGTGAACAGATGGTTAAACATACCTGTTCATACGTGTTGGGGAGCCCTGAGGAACATTGCTCTGGAAATTGTGCAACAGGTGAATCAAGTTCCCTACGTTTTAAAAAGCAAACTGACCCCGATTTATACAACCTGAAGATTGACTCCTTTAGCTTTACTCATGGTAGTCCATGATAAAAAGGTAATACCATCTGGTAATCGCCTAGATGGTCTTATGGAACACCCCATTTTGAC